CTAACAGGGAAAACAGAATACCTGAAGAAGGTGCTGCAGAAAATAAATCAGTAGGTGAGTGCAATGAGGGGAGAACAACAGCTGGAGATGGGGGACCTCAGTGCTAGCTATGAACACAGCATCAGCTACAAACCTGGGCCAACCACTCCCTCTCACCAGGTTTTTTTTCACTTACCTAGAAAATGAGGGGAATGAATTGATTAGGTAAGAAATCTAAGTTTCCTCCCAGGTCTATGAGACTAAAAAACAACAACAACAACAACAACAACAACAACAAAAAAAACACCTGTAATCCTCTTCAAAATGATCTCCAAACCCTTATAACTTAGCCAGGGTCAGAAAGAACCACAGTTCATGATTACAGTAAGCAAATGAGATTCAACTCAGCCACCTTGTGATAACCCTATCCTTTACCCAAAGGTCTCCTTCCTCAAACAAATAGGACCTCACTCCAACTGGTGCAACAAAAGGTGAAAGAATCAGTCAAGTCAAAGGAGATGAGAGAGAAGCTTCTGGAAGAATACCTTACAATAAACAGCATCTGAAACCCTCTAGCATGATTATTCTGAGGCAACTATATAGAGCCACATGATCTATAAGAACATGACATTGCTTTGAGAATGTTGCATAGCAACAATGCAGTAAAAATTTTGATTCTTTGTATTAGAAATCTCAAACTTCAGTCATAAAGACATCTTAAACTCAACATGTCCAGAACTGAATTCATTATTTTCTGCCTAAGCTTTCCCTCTTGCTCCTTTCCCCAAAATGCTGAATGAAACACCATCCTCCTGATGACACAGGATAGCAACCTAGACAACATCTCTAATTCATTACTTTCATTCTGCCCTCAGGATACAAAAGAGAGGCAAAAAATAATCGCTGAGCTCAAAAGATCTTTCAATTTACTAGGGGAGACAACATGTAAACAAATATACACAAAGCAGTATAAACAGGAAACAATTAACAGAGGCAGGCACTGGAATTAAGAGGGGTTGGGGAAGGCTTCCTGTGGAAGGTGGGATTTTAGTTGGCACTTAAAGGAAGCCAAGGAGGTCAGTAGTCGCAAGAGAGGAGGGAGAACATTCCAGGCATATTGAGGAGAAAGGGGAATGGCAGGGGTGGGGGAAGTGGGGGAGGTGTTGTACTTAGGAGAAACATAGGACATGTTGGGGAGTAAATAAGACTGGAAAGGTAGGAGAGAGGTAGGTTATTAAGGATTTTGAACACCAAATGAAGCATTCTGTATTTAATGCTAGAGATAATGGGGAACCACTGGAGTTTACTGAACAGAAGGGTAACATGACTCAACCTGCACTTCAGGAAAAATCATTTTAGTGGCTGAATGGAAGACATTGGAATGAGAGAGACTTCAGGCAGGCAGACCCACCAACAGCCTTTTCAATAGTCCAGGAGTAAGACAATGATGGTGTGCAGGAGAGCAGTAAAGTTTTGTGAAAGAATCAGAACAAAAGGAAAAAGCCACGGGAAAGAAAAAACAAAACCCCAAAACAATGAAAATAGTATGCTTCAATCTGCATTCTGACTCCATAGTTCGTTCTCTGGATGTGGTTAGCATTTTCTATCACAAGTCTTTTGGAAGTGTCTTGGAACAGTGAATTGCTGAAAAGAGCTAAGTCCATCATAGTTGATCATTGTCCACAGTAGCAGCCATATTGTGCAATATTCTTCTGGTTCTGCTCACTTCACTCAGCATCAGTTCATTTAAGTCTTTCCAGGTTTTTCTGAAATCCACATGCTCATCATTTCTTATAGCACAACAGTATTCCATTACATTCATACACCACAACTTGTTCAGCCATTCCCCAATTGATGGGCATCCTCTCAATTTCCAATTCTGTGCCACCATAAAAAGAGCTGCTATAAATATTTTTGCACATGTGGGTCCTTTTCCCTTTTCTATGATCTCTTTGGGATATAGACCTAGAAGTGGCATTGCTGGGTCAAAGGGCAAGCACAGTTTGGTTACCCTTTGGGCACAGTTCCAAATTGTTCTCCAGAATGGTTGGATCAGTTCACAACTTCATCAACAATGCATTAGTGTCCCAATTTTCCCACATCTTCTCCAACATTTATTATTTTCCTTTTTCTGTCATATTAGCCAATCTGCTAGATGTGAAGTGGTACCTTTAATTTGCATTTCTCTAATCAATAGTGATTTAGAGCTTTTTTTAATATGACTATAGATAGCTTTGATCATTTTGTCGGAAAACTACCTGTTCATGTTCTTTGACCATTTATCAATTGGAGAATGATTTGTATTCTTAAAAATTTGACTCAGTTCTCTATATGTTTGAGAAATTCAGCCTTTATCAGACACACTGGGCTTAAAAATTGTTTCCCAGCTTTCTGCTTTCCTTCTGATCTTCGTTGCATTGGTCTTGTTTATGCAAAAACTTTTTAATTTAATGTAATTAAAATTATCCATTCTGCATTTCATAATGTTCTCTATCTCCTGTTTGGTCATAAATTTGTTCCCTTCTCCACAGATCTAACAGGTAAACTATTTCTTGCTCTCCTAATTTGCTTATAGTATTATCCCTTACGTCTAAACCATGACCCAATTTCGACCTTATCTTGGTAAGTGAGAGATGTTGGTCTACGTCTAGTTTCTAACATACTATTTTTCAGTTTTCCCAGCAGTTTTTGTCAAATAGTCAATTCTTATGCCAGAAGCAGGAGCCTTTGGGTTTATCAAACAGTAGATTACTACAGTCATTGACTACTGTGTCTTATGTACCTAACCTCTTCCACTGATACACCACTGTTTCTTAGCCAGCACCAAATTTAATGATTGCCACTTTATCATATAATTTTAGATATAGTACAGCAAAGCCACCTTCCTTTGCATTTTCTTCGTTAATTCCTTGGAAATATTTAACACATACCCTCAAACCTACCCCACCCCAAGGAGGCTGAATGACCACTTGGAAATATTATGGAGGAGATTGTTTGTTCGAGTAGTGGTTGATCTCTCAAGTTCTTTCCAACCTCGAAATGTTTTTTTTCTTTTTGTGGGGGTTTTTTGGGGGAGAGGGGATGCAATGGCACCATGGAGAGACAGAAACCAAGAAGAGAGGAGGGGACAAGAGAGAGAAGGGGGGGAGACAGACACAGAGAGAAGCAAACACATGAAAACACAGGAAAGTCACTTAAGTGACAGGGTTTGTCCAAATGAGAAAAATAATAAATATCATGTCATGTATAGAAAATTATACTTAAGTAATGTTAATGGTTTTAAGAATGATCTATTAATATACTAACAGATATTAGAGAATAAGACTTTACTCTCATATATTCCTTTTTTTCCTCCAATGGTTTAATAACCAACTAGGAGCTGCAGATATATCAAGCAGAAGTCCAGACTAGAATAATTTTCCATTCCTTTTTCTTGTTTTTTCCCTTTTCCAACCATTACCAAATGTTAACAATTATTCTTCTGTACAGCTTACCTATAGCCATAATTATTCATTTGAATAACACCCTAACAAAGCTCTCATTAACTCCATGCCTATATTGGTGTTACAGTCTTCTAAGTTTATCGTGTTTCCTTAGGTTTCTCATCATCATAATACATCCTAAATGGTGTTGATATAATCAATCAATCAACATTTATTAAGTGCCCACTATAGCACCAGGCACTATGCTAGGTACCGCGGACGCAAAAGACAGTCCTAGCCTTCAGTTATCACAGGAAAAATCAAACCCTCCATTTGACTTTCAAGATCACCAATATGTCCTCCATTGAAATCACTTCATTTCACCAAATTCATTTCTTATTATTGTTCAAAATCCAATGTTCACAGCAAACAAACCGTCTCACACACACACACACACACACACACACACACACACACCCCTTCCTTGTTTTTTATTTTTACCTCTTTTTTATGTAGTATTACTCTCATTAAGAATGTCTTCTCCACTTGAGAAAAATAATCAAAAGCCTTCCAAAATTAGTATATATCCCCTAGTTTTCCGAACAGGCAGATCTTCCCCCCCAAACCAGACTTCCAACAGCACAAAATGCCAACTTTGTTTCCTTAAACTTGGATAAATCAGCAAAGTAAAACATGACAGAATTCCCCTTACTTATGTGCAAGGTTTGCCAAGTGGATACAAAAACAAGTCTAATTACTAACAACTAAAATATCCCAAAATAAATACAAACTACCTCATCTCCTCCTCCCAAAATCTCAAACAGACATGTGCAGGCAATTGTATAGTGACATTAAATTATGAAAAAGGAAATCAACTAGCAAAGAGCAAGAAAAAATTTTAGAGCATATCTAAAAAGAAATAATTCTTCTATTTATAAGTGCACTCAAAATTTCCAGTCTGTTTTCAGTGCTTAACCTTTGACCTGGAACAAGCAGATATTCTTAGTAATATCCTTAAATCAAAGATCATCTACTGGATCCATTTAACTTTGGTAATCTTTATAAAAATCACTTTTCCATTTCATCAGAAATATAAAATAATGTTTTTCTGTTCTAAAACCCCTTTCCAGTCTTGGCCTCCTCCACCTCCACAAAAAGTCCTTCTTTCAAAAATGGATTAAAGGTAGAAATTAAACTCCGAACAAGTAATACCTGATCACCATATTTAAATCATTGCCTTCAGGCTTCCTCTTTCCCTCCATTCAGAAAGGATATTGATATTGATTGCAGTGAGAGACATTAATTTTTACTTTTCTGTTCAACAATTCAACAACAAAAATTTATTAAACAAACACTTTCAATAATATGCTAGGACTTGGGAGTGCCAAGACCAAAAAGCAAAAAAACACCCCTGAACACACACACACACTCTCTCTCTCTCTCTCTCTCTCTCTCAAAGAAGCCTGCCTTTAAGGAGTTCATGTACTTATATGACCTTACTGTAAAAATACTAACCAAAATGGGAATAACCATTTATATTAAGTATCAGCTATGTGACAGAGACTTAGCAAACTAAGCACTTTAAAAATGTCATCTTACCTCTAAAAGCCAGCGGAAAAATCTGAAAAAGAAGTAACAAGGTCATTGTAGTATCCTCGTACTAGTTCTTGTAGTAGAAAAGTCACTGTAATAATACTGTGTACTATGTAGTGTAGTAAGGACACTGTAGCAGCTCAAAATGCAAGTACAGCAAACCAAATGTTGCTCTCTCCAAAGCAATCAAAGATCAGCTCCCAGATTCGTCTATCATCTCTATGAAGATAATTTTCAAGTTCTATTTTTCTACCCTTAATCTCTCTCCTGACTTCCAACTGCTTATTGGAATCTCAAAATGCGGTCACCTTAAACTCAATATATCCAAAATGTCATTAGGCCCTCCCACATATAGCCCAGAATCCTTCTCTCTTCCTATTTACCCATTACTGTGGAGGGCAACAGTATTCTCCCAGCCACCAAAGAGGTAGGGAGACTACTAACACATTAACACTGTAATATTTAGTTTTTTAAAAAGGTGTAAAACAATGTATATTTAACATCCCTTCAAATTTTTTAACCAAAGTGTTTTGTTTGCCTAGAGTAAAAGCCCAATTATGAAATCTTATTTTATGTACATCAAAACTTGGAAACATCTTTGTAATTTAGACCAAGTCAGAAAAAGGAGAAGGGAAGAAAGAATCTATGAGACAGTTTTGTAACAAGACTGGTAAGAGAAAAGTAACATACTACAGTGACCTTTTTGCTTCCCTTTCTGAAAGCAAAAGATGGTGGGTGATGATTCATAGTACAGTAATTCAAACAATGTGGGAGTGTAGTGATTCAAAGTACATTAATTTGAAAACAAGCCTCTGCTTGAAAATAATCTTTGACTAAATATATTTAAATTGATATACTTAGATGGATGAAATTAATATATTCCAATATACTTTAACTGGGGTTTGTCTCAGGTGCAGCAACAGTAGAGTATTTATTACCTATCTCCAGTTTAAGCTACCAATAAATACTATACTAAGGATGGCTGGTAGTCATTTCAAAAACAAATGAGACATGTACGGGACAAAATCAGTAGGGGGAAAAAAAGGCAAATAAAATATATGCAAAATGGTGAAACTGCCTGGGAGGAGGGGGGTGAATAATTCCCATGGCATGAGTTAATCTTGTATCTATAAGGATCAACTGCCTATTTCATATGAGGAAACTGAAATGTACTTTCTGAGACCACAGACAGCACAGAGGGGCTTTAAGTATGACAGACAAGTGGATCTGTCCCATACAGAAGTAACCACTGCCATGCCTCAGAAAAAGGGTCAAGTCTGGTGGGGAGGGGAAGGAAAGGAAGGGACTTTGAAAATCTTTCAGATGGTGCATCCTTTAGATTCCAATTTCACAGATGCTGAACTGCTCAGAGAATAAGTAGTCCATAGAGAAACTGGATCTTCTTCAAGTACATAAAAGATAACAAGGGCGTAAGGGGGTGTGTGGGTGTGTGTGTGTGTGTGTGGGTGGGTGTGGGTGTGTGTGTGTGTGTGTGTCAGAAACAGCAAGACTTAGGTCCAATGAGGGAGAAGAATAATGAATGTTGAAAAGAGGTCAAGAAGGATGGTGATTGAGAAAAGGGCACTGCATTTGGTCATTAAGAAATCAATGATCAATTTGGAAAAAGGAATTTAAGTTGAGTAACGAAATTAAAAGCCAGATTGTAGAGGGTTTAGAATAGAGTGAGAGGAATAGTGAAGACACCAATTGTAGATAGTTTTTTTTGAAGAATTTAGACATAAAGAAAAGGAATTATAATAGAAAGTTTTAAAAAATATAGGGTCCCCAACAGAGCATCTGAACCATGAGATTTTTAATTTTCCTCTTGGGTTTTGTCTCATATAGACTTCAGTCCCTCCCTCAATGAGGGGAGGCTGGAGAAGAGAAACAGTGTAATCCTAGAGCAGAGGCCTCAAACATGGAAGAGATGATCCACAACACTCCTGAGTCCTACCAGAATTAGATTAAAATATAATTGGGAAATAATTACAAATTATATAAAAATACAATAACACAGAAAAACATTACATTTTAAAACTAATATATGGTCTGTAGGAATCCTTATGTACAGTTTAATGGCACTGTTTCCATTTCAGTTTGATGTCACTGATTTAAAGGACTGGATGTCAAACAGAACATAATAAATTCCTTCTGGTTTACAAGTCAGTGATGGAAATTTACAAAAGTACAGAATTTTAGAAATAGGATATACCTTAACTATCCTCTAATCGTAACTCTAATACGAATTCCCTCAATTAGCAAATAAGGAAACTGAAGACCCAGAAAGAAACTTACTCAAAGACATATATCTATTTAACTGCAAAATCAATACTAAAATTATAGTCTCCTAAACCATGCATGGGTTGGTAAAATCCTGCCTCCTAGAAATAATGAAATTACACACTGAAAATACTCAACAAGTTAACTGGCTTCCCCGAAATTTTTTTTCCCCTTAAAAAAAGGAGGGGGAGACCTTTATAATATTAGATAGTTCTTAGGAAGGAAGTAGATAAAGGAATGTAAGAAGGAGTACAGATGATATAAAAATAAAAAATAGCAATAAAAATCTGTTTAAATAGTCACGCATTTGTTCTATGAAGTTTAGAACACACTAATTATGCATCTAGAATATTGCTGGGCCTCAGTTCCCTCATTTGGAAAATGAGAAATGGACTAGGTAAACACTAAGATCCCCTCAAGTGTTAAATCTTTGTCTATTTGTAAGTTAAAAATCCAAAAGGAAAAAAAAAAATGATAAATTGGGAACAGTGGTTTTACTCACTGATGTTGAGCCTGTATTCACTATTCTAAAATTTTCATCTACAGCACTTTAATAAAGAGAGGCGGCAGAGTGTTACAGTATACAGAAAACTAAGGGAGGCATCTGACCCATACAGGCTGTGTGACCACAAGTCAGGTCACTTCATTTTTCTTTTCTTTTTTTTTTAGTTAGGCAATGGGGTTAAGTGACATGCCCAGGGTCACACAGCTAGTGTTATGTGTCTGAATCCGGATTTGAACTCAGTTCCTCCTGAATCCAGGGCCAGTGCTCTATCTACTGCACCACCTAGCTGCCCCAGGTCATTTCATTTCTCAATGCTGTAGAGGCATCTCACGCTAAGCTTTAAGTTAGGTGCCCACTTGCATTGACAGTGGGAGTTTCCTGACTTGAGAGTTCTCTACCATACTACAGGTGTCATTTTAACAAGCAGCAGAAGGTGTCATGTACTCCACAAAGGCACTGACTCCTACTCAAGCCAGATTAAGATGTAATTGAAAAATATTTAATAAAATAAACAATGTGTGGTTTTCTAAGCAATAATGGGGTCTGCAAGGATCCTCATGACTGATTCAGTGGACTCTGTCTTCATTTTGAAACCAGTTTTATACCAATGAAATAATACCACTAGTGATTATCCCTGATGTGAAGAAATTATCTATTTTTGCAGAACTCAAAGCAGTACTATTCTGAACAACAAGAATAATTTGTGAACTTGAACATGTTGTCTGATTTAGGCTAGATTTCATTTCATGATTGCCTCTTGTGTACAACATTTTCTATCATGTGTAAAATATTCTGATACATAAGATAAATATCAAATCCTTAATATTTTAGGAAAATTTACACACAAACAACTTACAAGTGTGGCCTTATATTGCTTTTAATCATAACCCTTCATTGTGGATGGAAGAAGTCCAGATCCTAGAATTCAATGATACAGGTGATAGAGGTCAGCAACTACCTTAACTATAGTTCTAAAAAATCATCCTAGCCCAAAGGCATCAACCACCAAGCCCATAAAACTTCCAAAGTGCCAACCGAATGAGATTAAAATGCAACTGGGAAATGTTTCACAAAATAATTAAAATTCAATACATGGAAGACGTTAATTTTTAGTTTTCTAAATCAATATGCAGGCCCTCAGGGATCCCTTCCTATATAACTTTTCAGTCACCAACAGGTTAACTGACTTGATTCAGCACCTAAAGTTGTCTTTGTGAGAAGTAGGTATTGGGGGCAGCTAGATGTCGTAGTGAATAGAGCTCCGGACTTGGAGTTAGGAGGATCTGAGTTCAAAATCCAGCCCCAGACACTTGACACTTACTAGCTGTGTGACCTTGGGCAAGTCACTCAACCTCTACTGCCTCATTAAAAAAAAAAAAATTTAAAAAAAAAACTAGGTATTAAAGAGCAGTAAGTCTTCTAGACTACAAAGCTTATCCCCCTAACCATTACAATCAGAGTGCTTCTCTTCAGAAAATACTTATAAAGCATAAAGCCAAAAAGAAATATCAAATGGTTATTAGGGGGAGGGGAGGGAGAAGAGTAGTTTGCTTAAAACTAATAGCTTTATTAATCTTGATTAAATTTTACCCAAAGTTAGCATTCTATGACTTCTTTCATTTTAAGTGGAAATAAATCACTAACAGTAAACCAAGAATATCCAAGCTCAAGTCACTGTGATAAGGGGTGGTCTAAACCAAAAGGTTTAGGTTGAATATTATAAAATAGATCAAATAAGGTATCTAAATGAATGAATACCTTTCTTTCCCACCCTCCATTTCAAGCAAAAATTTAAAAAACACCAGCTCATCTAGAAGGGATGGGAAATAAAATAAATGTTGCCAGTATATTGTCCATCGACAATCACAACTCAGCCAGCATCTGGTGTTGATAAAATACAATTTAATTCATAACAAAAACTTTATAAAACTTAAGATATTCTTTTTTAGTGATTCAAAGCAACTGATTGCTTTAAGATCAGAAAAGGAGTACAACAAGTATTGTTACCTTGTTTATTTCACTTTAACTCAGAGTGCATCACATGAAATGCCAGGCTAGCAGAATAAAAAGTCAGAATGAAGGTCACACAGAGAAACAGCAACAATATCAGATATGAAGATGATACCACTCTGATGGCAGAAAGTGAAAAGGAATTAAGAAGTCCCTTGATGATGGTGAAAGAGTAGAGTGTAAATGCTGGCTTGAAGTTTGACATTTAAAAAAAAAAAAAACCAAGATCTTGG